TTTTTTTTTTTTTTTTTCTTTTCTTTTCTCCCATAATGATAACTCTGGCCATCATCCTCCAGGCCTGTCCGTGGGAAAGCTTATACAAATGTTGCCTCCATCTGCAAATTCACACTGGACCCCTCCTCACGGACTTTACAAAAGCAAGAGGTGTATGAGGAGCTGAAGCGCCTGACGCACGGGTTCACCAAGCTGGGCCCCAGCTATGAGCTGGAAGAGCAGAGTCTGGTTGTTGAAGGTGAGAGCTCCTGTGGTGACTTTGTGGGAATGACATTATTAGCTCTGTTTTAATCACCTCCAGAGCGGTCTCTTTCTCATCTGTCCCACCCTTTATTTCCAGGTTACTCTCCACTCAAGCCAGATGAACAGGAGTCTGAAAGATCTGGTAAGTGCTTTTGGGGATGGGTTGACCCTACAGCCATTGAATACTTGAATTAGCATCACATACCTTGAAACGGAAACTAGACCCATGCAAGAGCGCAGACATCTAGGACTCTTGGTAGGCTGGCAGCAAGCAGCAGTTACCATCAGTGCCAGCCAGCCGGAGGAAAATGGATGTGGACAGGCAAAAGCAAAACAATTTGGGAAGATGTTTTGGAGCTCTGACACCAGTAAATTTTGATAACTGCAGTATTTATAAAAAAAAATCCAGATATGGTGTTGTGGACACAGCCATAACCCCAGAACTAATGGTAAACAGGGGAAAAAAAAAAAAAAAAAAAAAAAAAGTATTGTGAACTGTTGCTTTTCCATCCACCACAAACATGGTGGCAAAATTAACTACGGCTTTTGCTGACACCTTTAGCCCTGTGCCCTTCCCCAAAAGGGTCCGTCCAGCAGCTAAGAGGGAACTTTGTTTCTCAGAACCCACCCCTGAAACCATCTGAGGGGTCTGACACTCACTGAGGTGACATTTACAGTTGTAGATCCTCAGACCCTCGCTCCATTTTACCGAAGTTGCTGTACATCCCACACACCTCGACGTTGCTGGCGCATGTTTTGCCCTGCAGCCAGGAAAGAGCCTTTCAGCAATTTTGCCTCCGCTATGCGCTGTATGAACTTTGTCAGGACAAGATCTCCCTCTCTGAGTCTCAGGAGTCCGACAAACTGATGTGCTCTTATTTTGCCTTTGCAGAGCTTCAGTTCTGGGCTATCATCCTCATCTGTGTTTTTACCCTGCTTGGCTTCATTCTCCTCCTCTTGTTATGCTTCCTGGTAAGTGGCCCCTTTGCTCTCCTGCCTCTTGACTCCGGCAGCGCCCAGCCACCTGGGGGTTGCAGGAGAGGCACTCAGACACATCCACAAGAAGCCCAGTGGTAGCGGTACCAGACACGCGTGGTAACAGCAAATGTCATGCCAGATCCCCCTTCAGTTACTGCCGGCTCTGTCAAAGGCTTGCGCACAGGAGCATGGGGAAGGGTATTTACACTCAGCTAAGCAGATTTCTAGGAGAGGAAGCGGTAGATCATGGATGAGAGTCCTTTGCAGAGAGAAAAAACATAAAACCAAAGGCAAACACCGAGGTGACAAGCAGTTTGAAGCTTTTCTTAAATCTCTTCCCCGTTCAAATGTCTGCACAACGATCAGGTTGTGATGAGGGAGCGCAGAAGATGACGTTTATATAACCTGAAGGAATCACATCCAGAATTTTGTATTTAATGCTTTTAGCACACAGACTGTCTCAGCCTCGCGGGGCTGTTCTCCAGCTGCGTAGCCTTTGCAAGAAGAGAGCGGATCCTGTTCTGATCTCGGGTGTTGATTTGACAGGGGACACCATTTTAATCGCAGTGTTTCGAAAGCAGCTGTGTTTGCTTTGGATCAGCTAGAAAAGAACAGCTAAATCTCCAGAGAGCATCGATTACTGTCCTTAGAGGTTCAGGAGCAAAATTACAGGCAGACGGATTTCGAAGAGGAAAAACCTCAGATTCAAAACTGGGGGTTGCGCTAGGGTCTGCCTAGGCAGCTTTAGTCCCTCCATCCCCACCTGGCAACGTTGTCTGGGGGCATCTCATGAAGGGAAAAGTGCAGACTTTTTTTTTTTTTTATTATTATTAACATTGTTCTTTTCCCACCAGATTGTCCTTCGCCTAAGAAGAAAGTCACATCTATACCAGGTTCAACAAGGCCTGTACGGGATGTACTTCCCACATCTGAACACAAGAAAAGTGCATTAACGTAACAGATGAAGTCTGTCTTCACAGACCTCTTTGTCCATTGATGAAGGAAAAAATATTTATGACCACTAGAAAAATGTTTCTTTAATAAATTATGTTTAGCATTTTCCCTTGTCTTGAGGCAAATCTTTGCACTATTGCCACAGTTATTTTCATACTATGGGAACCTGCCAGTAATGCAGATCTTGAGGAAAATATTTTTTTAAGCGCTGCAGTATTTTATACAAATATTACGCAACCAACAGAAAGTAAAGACTACCAGGAACTTCAGTTTGCAAGGCCCTTCAGTGTTAATGTCAGTTTTCTGAAAAAGGCTTAACGTTATACTAATTTATAGATTTTTTTTTTTGAGGACTGACTATTGTAAACGTAGAAACTTCATCTAGATTTTAGCTTGTTCCCATTTTTTTTTTTTAACGTGTAAATATCTGAAATGGATTAAAACATTTTATATATCTAAAATTATGTCAAGAGATTATGTAAAGATGCATTGTTAAATCTGAGCGTGATACAGTCATACTGTGTTTTTTGAGACTGATACTGATTTCAGTTGAATAAATGCCATGGGTTTTTGCCATGAAACAGTATTTCCTCTGTAGCGGCACTTTTCATGCCAAGTCGGAAACTACTTTTGCCCTGCTGAAGTCCCTGAGCTTTAGCTCCTCGGTTGTCTCGGGCATCCCATGGTCTGCTGTTACAGAGATCAGGACATTTACTGCCCCTCTAGACCTCCTGAGCCAGGCAGACTTGGCAGAGAGAACCCGTTACAAGCCTCAGTTTTCTGCGGAGCGCAGGAGATGGTGCCGATCTTTAAGAGATTCTTTGATACTATCATTAGATAAACTCTCTGCCAAAAGTGAAAGCACGAGAATTAGAACTAATGAAACCATGATTAGTCATTAATCCTTCCACTGCAGGCAATGTTTCCACACAATCAAACTGCCTTTTAACTTTCAAAGTAAAGCTCCTCAATGGCAGGTTGGACCAGTTCGTTCCCCCAGGTCAGGTTCCTCTGCGCAGAGTGGAGTTTCCTACGCAGAGGATTAGAAACCTGTTTGCTCGATCAAACAAAGGTTTTCAAGCACCCAATATTATGTCAGTGACATCAGATTAAAAGCTTTCAAAGCTGCTTCCAAAAGACCTTTGCAAGTTTCTGTGCCACCCAGCGTGCTCTGGCTGCAACAGCCATCGCAGACAGAAGTGTTGAGAGGGGAAAGGACTTCCCAGCTCGGGCTTTGATGCCAGCGCTCCAGAAAAGCTGAGTGACTGAGCAGGGCTGGTGGGCTCCAGTCAAAGCACCAGGTCCTGCCTTGGCAGCCCTGGAAAAACCACCAGATCTTCAGCCAACTGTCCCTGCTGCACCTCCTTCATCCTGGTAGCCCAGTGCCCTACTCCCCTCTCCCCATGGAGCCTCCGCTCCTGCTCTCAAACACACACGACTGATGTTAGCTACAGCACAGGGTGTGGAGATGTGACAGCCAGCACACGCTGGGAGAGGAAGGTGCTATTATTTGGACCTGTTTCCTAGAGGGTTTGAATTTTTGTTCTTACACCATGGCCACGGGGGAAGAGCCACTTCTCAGCCCTATGAAGCCACATTGTCCCTCCTCCCCCAGGTTCGCTGGGGAAGAGGAGGAGAGGCCCAGCACACATTGCAGAGCACAGACCAGCGCTGGCACCGCTGTCCTGTCCAGCCCAGGGACAAAAGGGAAGGCAGAAAATACAGCAGTTTCCCAGGCAACACCTCAAGCCCCAGGACAAACCCAAGAGCAGTGGGACAAACTTGCGTCTGCTCAACAGAAAGGCACACGTAGCTGATCAAATTTAGAAAAGCTGTAGCTTAGATGCGGCACGGCAGCACTCAGCTCTGCCCAACCCGTTTGTGGGGGATCCAGAGAGCCAAGGCAACCTTCCTGGCAATACCATGAGACCCCCATTTCCCTAAGGCTTTGCTGCAAACACGCCTTTCTGGCAGAAATAGCTGCAGCCACACATGCCAAGCATCCCCCTCTCCCTGGCACATACACACCAGCACTCGCTGTCAGAGCAGGATGTGCCACACACGTCCGACCCCACGCACCCTCGCCACCACGGGCAGGAGAGTCCAACCCCAGCCCTGCCAGCCGGTCTCTGATACCCAACCCCCAAAAATAAAGCTGAAACACACTGAGGAAGGGGCACCAAGACAACTGAGAGGGGGAAAGGGGCTGAGGAGCTGAGAAAGCAGCAGCAGCTTGCAGGGAGAAAGGGCCAAGCTCGAGCAGACTATGGGGTTGGCGGGTGCCCATGAGCCTCCCTGCAGGGCTGCTTTCCAAGAGGAAGGAGCCCTCACATACCACGGTGCCTCTCAGCATCCCCTACGCCATGTCGCAATGCGCTTCGTGTTATGGTTGGACGCCCGCCCGCGTTTGCTATGGAGCTGCTGTTTCCAAACAGGGGCCCCCGGCAAGGCTGCTGGGGGCTGGCCGGCTCGGCAGTGACGCAGGTGGCTCTGCCTCTGGCGTGGTGACCTGGGTCTGGGGAAGGACGGAGCAAGCGGGAAAAGAGGCTCAGCTTGACCTCGGGGACCTGCCCTGGGCCTGGTTCCATCGACGCCCGCTGCAGCACCACCAGCCGCCGCTGCCTTCCCCCAGCACCGCCCTTGGCCTCCCCCTGCCTCTGCTCTCCCCTCGCACTACGGATGCACTGGGGCTGCTTCTCAGCATTTCTGCCCTTGCACTTTTCGTGCCGCTCAGCCCAGATTCCCCCACTGTTACCAGTGTACAAACTGGCATCTGGCAGCACCCGGTCACCTCTTTTCCCAGCGTGGGGCTAGATGGACCTGCCTGGCCCTGCCATGGTAATTGCTGCTTAGTAAGAGACAGTTTATCAGTCTCCTCTTCAGCCCTTCAAACATTTTGTGCTGAACACTGGAAACAAGCCTGAAGTGCAGCGATAAAAGATTCAGCTGCTTCTCATCATTATCCCCAGCAATTCTATTCAATTTGGCTCTTATAGATAGAAAAAAAATCTCCATCTGCTTTGGAAACAGTCATCAAAAAGCCCTTTATGCAGCAAGGGCACACACTGAGACACCTCTCTAACCTCCTGTTCTCAGCATCGACCCAGAACTGTTTCCCAGAGGCTGAATTCCATCCTGTTCCACCTTCGACAGATCGGAAAATCTGAACCACCTGAGCTGCCTTGTCCCGGGCAGGATCCAGACCACCCACCCCATGTGCAGACAGTGATAGCACCTGGCCCCAGCTTCGCTGCCAGGATTTATAGCTCTGTGGGCGAGGGCTCATCCTTTCTGCTCATCCCTTTCTTTGCTTCAACACTAATTGCATCTCGTCAGCCTTTCTCCTGCCCTGCTCCACTGGGGACTTCAGACTGGGACAGGCAGCAGGAGAGCTGCACTCTGCCCAACCAGGAATTTGATTTGTGAAATGGCTGCTTTATCAGGAGCAAAAGCTCTATTTTGTTGGCACCACAATTGCTGCATTTTGTTTCTCCCCCTCCAGCCGGCAAGAAGCAAATACAAAATCTCCCTCTGAGCCACTGCTGGGCCTGATGGCTTCTTTTCCCTGCACCAGCCCACCTGCTCCTCTTCAGTAAAAAGCGCCAGATTTAGGGGCAGCAGGAGAAAGAAAATCAGGAAAATATATTTTTATGCCTCAGCTTGCAGTTTGCCCAATGCATCAGTGAAAGAAGGAGCACCGAGGCAACGCAACGTTTCATCAGCTCTTGTGCCCGCAGCGCAGACCAGTGTCCCCCGCTCCACCACGGTCTCCCTGGTGCGAAAACAAGCCGGATCCGTGCTGCAAACCACCAGCCAGCAGCCACACCACGAAGCCATCCGGTCCTGCTGCATGAGGGCACCTGCACATTAATCAGACAGCCGTGACGGAAACCTGCCCGCGTTCAATCCCCGCAGCTCAGCAGTGCCCATCTCGAGCGGAGGGAAACCCCCGTGGGCTGAGGGTGAAGGTTGTGTGGTGCCAGCTGGCACCTCTGAAGAATGTTAAGCAGGATTTTACAAGAAGTGATGAGCCCTGCAGCAGCTGAGGAGCTGTTTCCCTTGGGTGTGTGTAACCGCAGCCAGGAAGGAGCAGCTCTGGGGACACTGTATCCCCCCCCCACGGGCTGCTGGCTTCTGGCCAAACAGCGCTACAAGAAACAACAACAACAAAAAAAAAAGCCCAAAAGCAGACCACGAAACATGAGTTTGCATGAGCCAGAGTCGGGTAGCAGCATTCACTTCTGCCATCACATTTCTGCCAAAAAGCAGATGATACCGTCGAGCATCGTGGTGTTACTGAACTGGATTGGGACACAGGCAGAAAATCCCTTGCTGCAGGGCCCGGAGGTGCCACCCCGCTGCCTTTAACCACCACTTTCTAGTTGCTGTTACCAGGTCCAAAGAGCCTCGCTGCAGCCCGGGACCTAGACCCCAGCCCTGGGACAACATCACTAAACCCACGTGTCCGCACAAGACTGAGCAAAGAGCCCGATGTGTCACGCTGCAAACACGGGCCCTGGTCCCAGGGACATTTCTGCATCTGCAGCAACGCTCCTGCCTCCGCCACCACCCATCACTCAGAGGGTGATGGGCTAAGCAGCAGCAGCCACAGACCCCCCGGCCCCCCCGTGTTTTGGGGAAGGCATCATTTCACAGGGAGGAGACCCCCGCCCGCGGGGACAGAGGGGCTTCCCAGCACAAGGGCAGAGCAACTCAATCCCGCTTGTAAAGGGGGGCAGGATATTTGCTCAGGATCTCCCACAGCCAGGCAGATCTCCACCCTTTTTGAGGCCAAACAGAGGCCAGAGAGGGCGGCCTGGTGAGACCCCAGGACACATGGCAGCGGGGGCGATGTGCTGTCACCACCTCAGCCCCCGCTGATGTCACAACTCCATTTGTCAATTATTCTGCCCAAAACCCCTTGGGGGTGTGTGGGTGGGCACAGGGAACAGTGTGTTGCTGCCCAGCTCTGCAGGGACTGTGGGACCGGAGCTCCCCAAGCCAGGGACCAGGGACTCCCTTCCCCATCCCTGTCCCCACAGCCCCTCATATAACCTCACGTGGCCACCTGACTGTGGATCATGGTGTCCCCTACGCAA